TTCCCAGTTCATTGCTTAATTGTACAGACGGGGAAACTGAGGCCCAGAGGGGAAGTGACCTGCCCAAAGTACCAGAGCATACAGGAGGACATTCTTCCCCCTGCAGCACCAGGGACCCGTGGCTCAGAAAGCTTGTCCCAAACAGCGCACCTTCCAAAGGGCAATCACCAAACTGCCAAACTTCCCGATTTGCAAGCCACTATCGTTTTGTTCGACTACGTGATAGGTGGCATCTGCTCTCAAGTGACTTGCAAGATTCCTCTCCCTTTAGATTCCTGATGAGATTAAGGCCAGGACTCCCCAGCCAGGGGCAGGAATCGCAGTTGCTCTACATCATGGTCCTGTACAGAGCACTCATTTTCAACACAGTCTGCACTTACCCACCCTTGGCAACTCTGGCTGGCTTAACACAAGTGAGAATGGGTAGGGGGCACCTGGGGGTGACCAGGAGGAGGGAGAGGCCTGTGTGGAGATGGGCAGTTGGCTTAATCTTAGGATTTCATGGGCCCGGCCAAGCCCCAGGGCAGCTCTTGAGAGGCTCCAAGTTGACAAAGGCCTCACCTCACCACCGGTCCCATTAGCAGGCAGGGAGTGACCCCAGCCGCCCCACTACTCAGGGCACAGTCACAATCCCAAGGGGACACCTGGGCCATGTGCCGGCAGCTTCTGGAGCTCCCTGGGGCAGGGGCGCCGCAGTGGGGTCAGTGCAGTGACTGAGTCGGTAATTTCAGGGCTCATTTTGAAGACCACTGCCGTGTGGAACACAGTCATGTTCTTTAGCCCATTGCTGGGGGTCGCTAGAAACAACCAGTCTGTTCGCTTTAGTTCCAACGTCAGCACAATCATCTTAACACCAAGTGTGTCAGATTTAACTCCGTATCTGGGAAATCAATTTTAAAGTGGCCGCACAATAAAGTGGCATTCTTCTTTGAGCTTTGTTACGACATGTTCATGCAATAAACAGCAAAGAAAATATAGTAATTAGAGGTTGAATTAATCCTTGACAGACAAGCGTCTTAGAAATGCTGTGCCCTCCTCCCCAAACCTAGTAGACTGTGCGCCAGTCTTTCAGAATTAGACGCGCCAAGCATGTGACACTACTGTCCCACTTAAAATTCCGAGGTCGGCACTGGGACTTCCAGAGGCAGATATTAGCACTGCAGTCTCGTTAGGGATGAGACCAAAACAGCCTCCTATGAGCACCAACAGAGCCCACCCACTCAAGCCCTCTGAGGGGCTGGCTGCCCAGCCCTAGGGTAGCAACTTGAAGCCAGACAAGACAAGATCCCTCTGGAGGCCCTGTTGCCCTGGCCCCAGACTGAGCCTTAACTTCAGCCTCCATTCTCCATCTCCTTCCGGCCTCGGAGCGCCGATTCCAAATGCCCTTCTGCTGTACTGACGATGCTGAGCACCACGCACGTCAGACAGGGTAGATTATGCTACGCCACAGTCAAAAACGTCCCTCCTCCATGCCCTGCATGTCCCCTCACCACAGCCGCTCTGCCTCAAAGGGACGCCTGTCTGCCTTGCACACATGGGTGCAAACGGGCATTCCGGACTCGACTGACAGGAGACCAGGTTTCTGTCTGCACCGAGGGAATGCGGGCCACTTGCCGAAGTCCCTGGACCTCAGTTTCCTCTTCTCTGTGATCATCAGCTTCCATTCTTCCAACCTGAAAACTCTCCATCCATCGTTCAGCACCGAGTCTGTAGCAGAGCTGGCATTCCTGTGCTTGCAGTGCAGGCGAATGAGGCCACACAAAGGAAGGAGGGCTGGGTCCTGTCCTCTTCCACCACTGCCGTGCCAGCATGCCACGGAAGGCTCAGAGTGGGGGTCTCACACACATTCTGGGCAAAATATAAATGCATGACTCATGGACCAGGACTCCCCAGCCAGGGGCAGGAATCGCAGTTGCTCTACATCATGGTCCTGTACAGAGCACTCATTTTCAACACAGTCTGCACTTACCCACCCTTGGCAACTCTGGCTGGCTTAACACAAGTGAGAATGGGTAGGGGGCACCTGGGGGTGACCAGGAGGAGGGAGAGGCCTGTGTGGAGATGGGCAGTTGGCTTAATCTTAGGATTTCATGGGCCCGGCCAAGCCCCAGGGCAGCTCTTGAGAGGCTCCAAGTTGACAAAGGCCTCACCTCACCACCGGTCCCATTAGCGGGCAGGGAGTGACCCCAGCCGCCCCACTACTCAGGGCACAGTCACAATCCCAAGGGGACACCTGGGCCATGTGCCGGCAGCTTCCGGAGCTCCCTGGGGCACGGGCGCCGCAGTGGGGTCAGTGCAGTGACTGAGTCGGTAATTTCAGGGCTCATTTTGAAGACCACTGCTGTGTGGAACACAGTCATGTTCTTTAGCCCATTGCTGGGGGTCGCTAGAAACAACCAGTCTGTTCGCTTTAGTTCCAACGTCAGCACAATCATCTTAACACCAAGTGTGTCAGATTTAACTCCGTATCTGGGAAATCAATTTTAAAGTGGCCGCACAATAAAGTGGCATTCTTCTTTGAGCTTTGTTACGACATGTTCATGCAATAAACAGCAAAGAAAATGTAGTAATTAGAGGTTGAATTAATCCTTGACAGACAAGCGTCTTAGAAATGCTGTGCCCTCCTCCCCAAACCTAGTAGACTGTGCGCCAGTCTTTCAGAATTAGACGCGCCAAGCATGTGACACTACTGTCCCACTTAAAATTCCGAGGTCGGCACTGGGACTTCCAGAGGCAGATATTAGCACTGCAGTCTCGTTAGGGATGAGACCAAAACAGCCTCCTACGAGCACCAACAGAGCCCACCCACTCAAGCCCTCTGAGGGGCTGGCTGCCCAGCCCTAAAGTAGCAACTTGAAGCCAGACAAGACAAGATCCCTCTGGAGGCCCTGTTGCCCTGGCCCCAGACTGAGCCTTAACTTCAGCCTCCATTCTCCATCTCCTTCCGGCCTCAGAGTGCCGATTCCAAATGCCCTTCTGCTGTACTGACGATGCTGAGCACCACGCACGTCAGACAGGGTAGATTATGCTACGCCACAGTCAAAAACGATGTGGGACAAAATCCCTTCGGGTTCCTTCCTTCTCAAAGTCCTAACGATGTTTAAAGACTTAATGTCTAAAAGAGTCAGGCCAGTTGCACCCGAGCTTTGCGCTGCTTCTTTCCTGCCACACAGTTGACTGCTGCTGCCTAGGTTACTCCTCGGTGGTGTGGTGAGAGGTGTGTGATGGGAATTGGTTTATTGCACTGATCCATAGTAACCGGCTCCTGTTCCTCCATCATTTATCTCCCTCCCCAGCGACATCTGGGTTGGTCTATTCACACTCTCAGCATTCTATCTGCTCCAACAAACACTCAGCCTTTTCTGCTTGGATAAGATTTTTTAGTTACATCCATTATGTGTGTATCAACATTTATGGCAGCGAGATAATTGCCAAAGAGCTCCGAGGCTGAAAGGTCCTTCTTCATAATGTCCGCCCCCACCCGTTTAAAAAAATCAATACAAACACCAAGCAGGACAGCGGCAGACTCTTGCATGGCTGCTGCATCCTCAAAGTTGGAAATGCAATTTTTAGAACACGCTTGGGGCCTAAAGAGGAAAGAAAAGGCTCCAGACAATGGGTTCCAAACCACACCTCAGTGGAGTACCTGTGTGCGGATGGAAGGCCTACTTGTGCTCACAACCTTGGCTAAACAACCACAAGGCAGCACCTCTGCTCTTAATTTGAAGAGTCGTTTGGAAGCAGGCCTGTCCAGTATCAAACAATCTCAATCCCGTTATCTGCAGACCGACCCAGGGATTAGGAGGCCTGCTAGCCGTGGCCCGGGAGATGGCTGGATTAGGAACACTGAGCAAGAGACACTCTGGATTGCTTCCCGGGCCTCTGTCTGTGCTGCTGGATTAGATGTTCACACTTGGAAAGATGCAAGCCAGGGAGCACTTCGCCCTTTAATACGGTTTTGATTGACCTTCTGCCACTGTTTTACTCCACCTCTTCTCCTTGTCCCTTGGAATCTCTGCCCCATTTCTTTATCTCTATGGCTGAACCTGCTGTTTTACTTTCCCAGAGAATGACGATTTTGTTCACAAGTCAGTGCTTTAGATCTGGAAGGGAACCAGACTCAGGTTCTGAAGAGAAGGCAAGGAGGAAGGGTGGATTTGCCCAAGAGTACTCTGCTAGGTTTGCAGAACATGGATTCCCGAGCTCCTAATCTAATGATCTCTGCAATGCCTCAGTGCAGGAAAAGAAAACCAGAATCCTCAGAAAAAGAAAAGAAAATTGGGGAGTGGGCAACTGGAGTGGGGCGAGGGGAGAGAAGCAGGAGCTCATCTCCTTCCTTGGCAGAAATGCTCCCCACCTGGTAATTTGGGAGCAGGACCCCGCAACTGCGCATCAGTCTCCGTGTGTAAATACTCTGTAACACAAGCTCTTTCTCACCGCCCGGCACCAACTGCCCCTCGGCTCTATGAGGCCTTTTCTCCTTCCTGTGCTGTATTTACAGACTCAATAACAATGACACAACACAGGTAAGCATTAAGTAGCCTGTTTAACCAGAACAGCAGTGCAACCACTGTCAGAGAAGCCACTTGTTTAACATCCATTGTATCCCTCTGGTAACCCCAGTCACTGGGTTTCCTAGGGATGCCTCATTAACAGGTGCACTTTAAGCCCTGACATCATCAAATCTAGAAGGGAGGGAGTATTAACCATGCTGACCAAGCCTGAGGAATCATTTCCTTACTGAAAGGGCTGACAGCAGTGAGTCTCCTACCTTCCAACGTGGCCCCTCCATCCCCACCCAGCAACAGGCTATTTCCTGGTTGAGCTTAAAAACTCAGTGCCGTTCCTGTTTCAACCCACACATCTGTGTCACTGTCAGCGTCAGTGGCAGGAAAAGAGTCAAAGTCACCCTTTGTGGATGATTTCCTAACATGGAATTTCCTTGTATCTGCTAAAGCTCCTCTTCTCCCAAACTGCCCCCAACACATTGTAGGGACGAGGGAAAACTGGAGATCGTCACGGCAGGAAGCGGATGGTTTGGTAAGGAAGAGCTCCAGCTCCGGAGATATTTTTAAGGGGGGAAGAGGGGAAAGACGCTGGTGCTTCCACCCAGTAGGAATAAGACAGAGATCTCCCCATCCCCCCCAAGGCGCCTGGAAATCCCTGCGCCACCTCTTTCTTGGCCTTTTCTTGCCTCCCCCTTTCCAAGGTCCACTCTGAGCCACATTCTCACACCAGCACCGAGAGAAGATCCCCACCCCAGAGGAGCAGGAAAGGGCAGAGGGTGACACAGACCCCAGAGCTAGGGACAGGCGCTGGAACACCACGGAGCCACCAAGCAGGGTAGGAGCCCACTGCGTGCCCTCTGCAGAATGTCCTGGCCCCTGGGCAGACTGGTCAAGGGGAGAAAGAGGCTGTTACTTTAAGGGGAAGAAGCTGCTTGGCTGCTCTGGCTGGCGGCAAACAGCTGGTCTGTCCTGCAGGTTCAAGGCCATTTCAGCTCCTCTCTTATGGAGGCACCATATGTTCCATCTCGCACATCAGCAGCTTTATTTTCCAATGATCTTGCTCCAGAAGAGAAGCACAAAGGGGGTGGGGAGGAGAAACTAAAACCAGTAGCTTACCTTTTGATTACTTTCTTGCGGTTTCAGATGCAGTTGGTGTGCATGCATATGTGTGTGTGTGTGTGTGTGTGTGTGCATGCGCGCGTTGTAGAAGGTTAACGCTTCACCTTCTACTCCAAAGACCAGAAAACAAACGCTTGACCAACACTATTAATCACCTCAGGAGATGGGCACGGAGAGGAGTGGGGCGAGAAGGGAAAAGGCAAACAGAACCCGGGCATCTCATTAAAAGGGAGGGGGCGGGGCAGGGATCAGGGGGTGACCGGCTGGGGACACTGACCAGCTCCGATTGGGCCCCGCCCACTTCCCCGTATTTGTCACTTTCATTATCGGTGTTCTCTTTCCTAACAAACTTCGGGAGAGAGAAGTGCGCCACTTTGGGGGACTGGGAGGAGCAGGCCGGGAGGATGGCCAGAGGCTACTTCGAAAATGTTTAAGGAGTCCTAGTGCAAGCCCGGCTCCCCCAAATTTTCTTTTTGTTTGCGGGGGTGAGTAGGTGTAAAGGTCAGGGCCGCCAAGTCACCAATGAGACTAAAACCGGCAGCCTCGGTGTTCAGGACACCCCCAGGCGCCAGACGCTGAGTGGGCGCGGAGGCAGGAGGCTGCTGAGCCCGCCCTGCTGGGAACCCTGACTCGGTGATGTCTCCTACCCGCTCTGCCCCTTCAAACAAAGGGCACCCACGAAGAGTTTCAGCGGCCAGAGGGAGCGGGAAGGAACAAGTGCAGCCAGTCCCAGGGCGGCGAAAGCCTTCCGGTGCCTGCGCCTTGGCCTCCGGTGGGCGCCGAAGCAGCCCCGAGCGGGGACCTGGGACAGAGGGGCGCCCCCTGGAAAGCGAAACCGAGGAAA